TTGTACTGTTTTAGTGTTGTTAGCCGCCCTGAGCCCGGCTTCGGCTGGGGAGGGCGGGATATAAATAAAATTTATTATATTATTATTAGTACTAAAGGAGCATTCCACCCCCCTCGTTCGGCCCGGACACTGAGATCCAGCTCCAAGGGCCTTCTGGCGGTTCCCTCGCTGTGAGAAGTGAGGTTATAGGGAACCAGGCACAGGCCCTTCTCAGCAGTGGCACCGTCCCTGAGGAAAGTTCCTCTGATCAGATTCATCCAAGGAGAGAAAACACTATTTGACTGTTTAAAAGAGTATCTGAAGGCGGCCCCTGTTATAGGGGAAGCTTTAATGTTTGTGTTTTATTATATTTTTAATATGTGTTGGAAACTACCCAGAGTGGCTGGGGCAACCCAACAAGATGGGCAGGGTATAAATAATAAAATTATTAATATTAATAATACATTTTTATCTGCCATTTACCTTTTCCGCTGCAGCAGTACTATTTATCTACTTGCACTGGCGTGCTTTTGAACTGCTAGGTTAGGAGGAGCTGGGACAGAGCAACGGTAGCTCACCCCATCGGGGAGATTCGAACCAACCGACCATCTGATCCACAAGCCCAAGAGGCTCAGTGGAAAATGGCATTTCTGTGCACTCTGGTTTCCTCATGGTGTTCTGTTGCGCCAGAAGCAGTTTAATCCTGCTGGCCACATGACCAGAAAGCTGTTTGTGGACAAACACCAGCTCCCTTGGCCTGAAGTGAGATGAGTGCGCTACCCCATAGTCGCCTTTGACTGGACTTAACCATCCAGGGGTCCCTTTACCCTTTTTTACCTGTGCTTCACCAAAAGGTCCCTGGGCCAGCTACAACAATTTAACTTTCAGAATTAAAAACAGGCAAGGTGTGACATAACTAGCTCTGAAGCACCACAAGGGTGCCGCAGAAATAATGTAGTTGGTTAAGGGAGCTGTGGGCCCAAAAAGGTTCGAAACCTCTGCTCTAGGAGGTTTCAAAACCGGACTGGCAAGTGGCGTGGCCTGGAGTGAGAAGGGCCAAGCAGTTCGGCCTGGAGGGCCAAATCTGCACCTGCACCAGCCCCCTGCTGCTATTCCACCAAAGTTTTCTGCTGCAGGCATGTGAGATGATCAGGGAAGACAATGGCATGAAGCCAGCTTCGGATATATCTTTGTAGAAAAGGGCTTTGTGGAAGAACGTGCGGGGTGTGTGTGCTGATACAATTGTTTCTTGCTGTTGATAATGTTCCCTCTGTTTCTTTGGCCTTGGTGAAGTAACAGATGCCAATCTGGTTTCCGTCATTTTCGATTCTTTCTTTCTTTTTTTTAAACACGTCGTTTCTGGTGGAGGAGAAATCCTGGAACATTTACTTGGCTGCCATTAACGTGTTGGCTGACAACGCCCCCCCCCCCCAATTTCCTTTCAGGGCAAGGCGTTGCTTCCACTGTGATCTGTCAATTTTCACAGAAAAACTCGAGCCGAGGGAAATTGCAACTTGGCTGGTCGCCTATGGTGCACTAGAACGCCTCTCTAGGCAACCAGGCGGGAGAAAAATCACCATCAAATACAGGAATGAAAAACCACCAGAAAGTACAACAGAGGCTAACGTTTTAAAAAATAGGTCTGGGAGGACAGAAAAGTCTTAAAACTGCAGCGCTCGTGTCTCTGTGGGCTCTGCTAGGTGGGGCATTCCATAGCTAGGGACGCCGCCACCCAAAACTCGCTCTGGACTTCAGAGTGATGGAGAACAACACAGAGAAAGGCCTCCTTAAGGTTCAGGTAGGTACATAGGCTTGACTACTGCAATGTGTTCTGTGTGGGGCTGCCCTTGGACTTAGACTGGAAGCCCCAGCTTGTGCAAAATTCTGCAGCTAGACTGTAGATAGGGTAAGCTATTGAGAGCATATAACTCCAGGGCTCCAAAGCTAATGCTCGCATTAATTTATGAGGCCCTTAACAACTTATAGGGATGCGGGTAGTGCTGTGGGTTAAACCACAGAGCCTAGGACTTGCTGATCAGAAGGTCGGCTGTTCGAATCCCCGCGACGGGGTGAGCTCCCGTTGCTCAGTCCCTGCTCCTGCCAACCTAGCAGTTGAAAGCACATCAAGTGCAATAAAGCAAGATGAGCACCGCAACCCCAGAGTTGGCCACGACTGGACCTAATGATCAGGGGTCCCTTTACCCTTTACCTTTAACAACTTATATCCCTACCCTATCACTGAAATCCTGGGGGAAGTCTACAGCGGTCCCATATGGCTTGGTTGCATGGCTCGTAATGACCAGAAGCTGGGCATTCATTGTTTATGCCCAAAGCCTGCGGAACTCCCACCCCCATGAGATTAGGCAGGCAAACTTCCTATCTGCACATCAGGCATACAACAAAGGCTTTTGTATTCCAGTAGGTGTTTGAAGGTAACGTTTGTTTCATGGTGATCTTCTTGTGTTACTCTGTATGGTTTGTCTGATGCACACTGCTTGCAAATGCCAATGATGAAACAGTATATCAACACCGTAAGTAAATACAGTGGTATCTCTGGTTACGTACTTAATTCGTTCTGGAGGTCCATTCTTAACCCGAAACTGTTCTTAACCTGAAGCACCACTTTAGCTAATGGGGCCTCCTGCTGCTGCCGCGCTGCCGGAGCACGATTTCTGTTCTCATCCTGAAGCAAAGTTCTTAACCCGAGGTAATATTTCTGGGTTAGCGGAGTCTGTAACCTGAAGCTCATGTAACCCAAGGTACCACTGTAAATAGCAGCGGAGGGATTCTGCTAAGTTTGAACCCTTCTCCCTGAAATATTAGATTTCTAAATGTGAGGCATTTACATAACATTAGATTTTTAAGTGCAATGCATTTATACTAGATTTCTAAATGCAAGGCATTTGTCGTCATTTGGAGGCTCATTCCATCAGCGTGAAGGCGGTCACAGTCCAGCGGCAGGTTGATTATCGCTAGGCTTTCGATTTTGGGAAGGTCAGGGATTTTCCCTCTGGAGTTTTATTTTTCGCTCCAAGGTCGGATGCGTGAGTGACAAGTCGGGTGGCCACCTGTTCGCCATCTGCTTCAGCATCTTCAACTTCCTGACTTTTTTCCACTGAAGGCAAGCCAGCTGTGCAGCACAGGCAGGCCGGCAGTGCCAACCAGATCTGGCAGGACAGCCCTGATGTGGCAGGGCGCAACAGCTGGCGTGCGGCAATGCATTATTGGAAGGCACCCCTGCGCACACAGGGTCACTCTTCTATGACAGGGAGACGCTGGGTTGATTAATGGCCTTCATTTGCACATGAAAGCATTCTGGGGTCGCCTTTGCCCCTGATTCTTGGGTGCAGGAAAGCAGACGCAGCATTCCAAGTGTGTGTGTTTCTGCTTGTGTCTGTGTCCAATTTTTTCCACCAGGAAAATAATTATGGGAACTGTTGTTGTTGTTGTTTAGTCGTTTAGTCGTGTCCGACTCTTCGTGACCCCATGGACCAGAGCATGCCAGGCACTTCTGTCTTCCACTGCCTCCCGCAGTCTGCTAACCCAGAAATAGTGCTTCAGGTTAAGAATTTTGCTTCAGGATGAGAACAGAAATCGTGCTCCAGAAGGCTTGTGTGTCCTGAGCTGACGGGTGTCTTCTTCTTCTTTGGCGATCCCTCGTAGCCAAGTCAGATTGTCTTCCATGAACACGGTTTTAACAGTGAGTCCGTAAGTGACCGTGGAGGCCGATTCTGGATCCACTTGTCCTTCCACAGTGGGGACGTAGGTTGATCACAGTGAGGGTTTGCCAAGCGTGCCTTCCTCCTAGCACGTTTCTCTGAGTTCGAGTGTCTTCCAAGCCCATGACACCTTTGGTAAAGGCTGTTCTCCAAGTGGAGCACTCGCAGGCCAGTGTTCCCCAGTTGTCGGTGTTCATACTACATTTTTAAAGAATTGCCTTGAGAGAGTCTTTAAACCTCTTTTGTATCCATTGGCATTATGCTTTCCCTTTTTAAATAATTTTTATTGGAAATTTTATTTACAACATAACACAACCCCCCCACCCCCCAACACAGAAATCCACTCCCATCAGACACAAACCTAACAAACAACAAGCATAATTTACAACAATACAAACAACCAAATAAAAGACTTCCTTTATCCTGTATCTGGCCTTCTTATTTACTTCTTATAAGCTGTTTCCTTATGAATAATTATTAAGATTTTCCTAATTATAACTTAAATATCCACAAAGTCTCCTGCAGACATTAATCGAAACAAGTCCAGGTATGAATTTTAGGGCACTGTTTTGTGAAGCATTTTCTGCATTTTCCCCATGCTTTTTGAAATTCTTGTCTAGTGTGATCTCTAATTGCCTCTGTTAATCCAGCCAGTTCAATATACTCTAACAGTTTGTCTTGCCATTCCTTTTTTGGTGGCACAGTCTCTTTTTTCCAGTTTTTAGCAATTAAGATCCTTGCCGCTCCTGTGGCATAGAGGAATATTTTCTGATGTTCTCTTGCTATACCTGCGTCTGTTTCTACTCCTGGCATTATGCTTTCCATTTGAAATTCGGAATAGAGCAGTTGCTTTGGAAGACGATCATCAGGCATCCGCACAACATGACCAGTCCAATGAAGTTGATGTTGAACAGGTGTACCGGTGGGAAATAAATGCAATTGGGGAACCACAAATTGACACCCTGCTTCTTCCGTTACAGGTGAGGCACCTGGAAGCATGGCCTGCACCGCCTCCTCCTCTGCCTCCACCATCTTTGCCTTCTGCCTCCTGACCATCTGCCCCACGGACTCCCTCGACCCCGGGCCCGCCGCACCTCCCAGCCTCCCTGAGGTCGGCAACAGCTTCCCGAGCCGGGAGGCCTGGCCGCACCCGATGATAAGGACCACGGCGCACCACCGCGGGCATGGCGGCCTGGGCAAACACGACCGGGCCCATTATGGCATGCCGGCGCCCAGAGGGGGCAGGGAGGGGCCCGGCCTGCGGGTGCTGAGCCGGCCGGCATCGGTCGACGACCCGGGGCGGACGGACCGGCCGGCGGGCCTCCGGCAAAAGGACGTTTTCCTGGGCTTTGAGTTTCCGTATCCTGAGCAGGAAAACCATGCCCCTGGGTCCGAACGGGTGAAGAAGCAGAACCGTGACCACAGGCGACACAGCCGGAGAGACAGGTTGAGGCAGCACAGAGGTATCCTTCGAGGGGTGATGGAGGGTTGCCTGTTTAGGGAAGTTTTTAATATTTAATGCTGTACAGTGGTACCTCAGGTTACATACACTTCAGGTTACATATGCTTCAGGTTACAGACTCTGCTAATATGATGTTAGCTGTTCTGAGCCCGGCTTTGGCCGGGGAGGGCGAGATACAAATAAATAAATAAATTATTATTATTATTATTATTATTATTATTATTTTAAAGCCATCCAAGCGGATGGCCATTGCTGCCTCCTGCAGGAGGGAGTTCCACAGTTTAACTGGAAAAGTATTTCCCCCCTCCTGTCCTGAACCTTCCAACATTCAACTTCAACACAGGAAGGGCGTTATTATTTTCTCTCATTACGGCGTTATGTATTTTTGTGCTTTTATATTGTAAACTGCCCCGTGATGCTCGGATGGAGGGTGGAATAGAAATTTATCAAGTAATAAAAAGAATAACGGGATGCCATCGGGTTCTTGCGCTACGAGAGAGAGAGAATAACCTTTTCTCCGTCCAATTGTTCTTTTCGCTCTGATTTCGCACTCTCAACCCCCTGCAGGAAAAGCTTCTGACCCGGGTCCAAGCGCCCTGTACAAGAAACCCGAAAGCTTTGAGGAGCAGCTTCAGACCCTTCACGGCGGGGAGGGGTCTTCGGCCGGCTTGCCTCCCACCTCCTTCCTGGGCCCCACGGTAAAAACATCCACCGAGGAGCCCCCTGCCCTCCACGCAACGTCCGCCCAGCCTCGGGTGCGAGTCAGGCAGGAAGGCGACGTTATGCCCACCCTGGACATGACGCTCTTTGACTGGACTGACTACGAAGATCTCCGGCCGGATATGTGGCCTTCAATCCGGAAGAAAGGTGTGTCCTGTTTTATCATCTCCTTTTTGCGGGGTGGGTGGGGGTGTAGCTCAGAAGGTCCCGATCCCTAGGGGACTCCAGGTTATTTATTTCACAAAATTTTTATGCCGCTTGATTGCTTAAAAAAAAAACACACCAAAAACACCCTCGAAGCAGTTTACGGAAAGAATAAAACAATAAACACCCATATGGTGGTACCTTGGTTCTCAAACTTAATCCGTTCCGGAAGTCTGTTCCAAAACCAAGGGGTGCTTTCCCATAGAAAGTAATGCAAAACGGATTCATCTTTTCCAGACTTTTAAAAACAACCCATAAAACAGCAGTTTTAACATGAATTTTACTATCTAACGAGACCATTGATCCATAAAATGAAAGCCATAATCAATGTACTATAAAATAAATGAGACAGTATTGTAGGTGATAAAATTTAAAATTAGTTTTTTTTCCTTACCTGCACTGATGATAGTCATTGTTTGGATGGGGGGCTTTTATCCATTTCCGCAGTCAGTCAGTCAGTCAGTCAATCAATCAATCAGTAGCTGAACTGGGTTCCACACAGTCACAAAAACAAATGAACCGAAAAAGCCTTTTTTTTAAAAAAAGGAAAATAAATAGCAAAAACAAAAGTGCCAAATACAATGGTACCTTGGTTCTCAAACTTAATCCGTTCCGGAAGTCCGTTTGACTTCCAAAATGTTCGAAAACCAAGGCATGGCTTGTGATTGGTGCAGGCGCCCCAGAAACAATAGCTGACAACCGCATCGGACATTCGGCTTCTGAAAAACATTCGAAAACCGGAATACTTACTTCCAGGTTTTCGGTGTTTGGGAACCAAGGCGTTTGAGTACCAAGGCATTTGAGAACCAAGGCGTTTGAGAACCAAGGTACCACTGTACTCAAAAACAACTATGGGAAACCTTCCCAAAAATAATTAAACTCGACAATAAGCTAAAAACCGGATTAAAACACACACCAGCTGGCCAGACGTACAGTGGAGGCACCTGCCTAACATCAATAGGCAGGGAGTTCCAAAGTATACTATCGATGCTAAAAGATTAGTTTTTTGCGGAATTGCAACCAGGCCTGAGGGTCTCATACGTTTGTGAACAACCTTCCTGGGCTCATTTCCCGGCAGTGGGTGGGGCCAGAATGAAAAGTGGGTGTGGCAAGAGGCAAAAGTGGGTGGGGCAATGGATGGGAATCCTACCCATGTAAAACACAGGTCTTTATACTCCACTACCCCCCCCTTGGGACACGGATGGTGCTGTGGGTTAAACCACAGAGCCTAGGACTTGCCGATCAGAAGATTGGCGGTTCAAATCCCCGCGATGGGGTGAGCTCCTGTTGCTCGGTCCCTGCTCCTGCCCACCTAGCAGTTCGAAAGCACATCAAAGTGCAAGTAGATAAATAGGTACCGCTCCAGCGGGAAGGTAAACGGTGTTTCAATGCGCTGCTCTGGTTCGTCAGAAGCAGCTTAGTCATGCTGGCCACATGACCCGGAAGCTGTACGCCGGCTCCCCCGGCCAGTAAAGCGAGATGAGCGCTGCAACCCCAGAGTCGGTCATGACTGGACCTAATGGTCAGGGGTCCCTTTACCTTTACCTTTACCTTTACCCCCCCCCCTTTCTCATCCTTTCTCGCTTTCTCCCCCGCTAGACAAACAGCGTGGTAAGAACGGGGGCAACGAAACCACCCCCGCCGAGGGAGAGTCCTGCGACCATCACCTCGACTGCCTCCCAGGTGAGCAGCAGCTTTCATGAGGACTAGCGACGGTGGAGGCAAGCAGAATTGTATGTGGTGTCTTGAGCAGAGCAGGCCCTGCCTCCTGCCCCTCCTCAACCAATCCAGAAGAGCAAAGACATCCACACCATGGCTCATTTGAAGCACATGACTCCCCCCAAAGCACCCTGGGAACTGTAGTTTACCCCTCATAGAGGTTCCCAGCACTCTTAACAAACTATAGTACCCAGGAGTCTGTGACTATATCGTTGTGGATGATCCCAAACTTCAGGCATTGAGGGGGTTCCTTGTTGACGGAGACTGTGGTGTCTTTAGATACATGGCTTTATTTACACCTGCAACCTGGGCTTGGGATGGAAGAGCTAATGGCATTAACAAGCCCAAAAGATTCTTGCTTCCCCGTTAGGTTTCCAGGGGAGCACCCCAAGTACGGCATGGAGCAAGACATTTCTGTGTCTCCAGCTTCCAGCACCGGCCAAAAAAACTCTCACGCGAATCACAGTCCCCCTTGGCCTGTTGTTCTCCATCTTAGGATACAGGTGAGGTAGGGAAAGGCCCAGCTATTTGTCTCCATGGCAACAGAGCCCACTCTTTTGAGATGCAAGTGGTGGGTACTTAGCTGAGCTGCTAAAGCTATTCATTATCTTGACCAGACCTGGACCAATTCTCCTGTATATTGTAGTCTCCCATATGCAGGATCACAACTTTGATAATAATAATAATAATAATAATAATAATAATAATAATAATAATAATAATAATAATAATTGTATTTATATCCCAGCCTCCCCAGCCGAAGCCGGGCCCAGAGCAGCTAACAGCAATAAAAGTAACACAGCATTCTAAAATCGATATTCTAAAATCAATTCAAAATCAAATGGCAACCATTGGGCTAGAGTTCTGTGAGGATTACTGAAGGATATCCTCCTTCAGCCAAAGGCCTGGTGGAACAGCTCTGTCTTGCAGGCCCTGCAGGGCCCTAGTCTCTTGTGACAGAGCGCTCCACCAGATCGGGGCCACAGCCAAAAATGCCCTGGCTCTGGTTGAGGCCAGAGATCCCTTTGGCAGGGATCCTCAGAGGTCATCCAGACTGACCCCCTCCCCCCAAAAAAAACCCATAACACTGTGGTCCGCTAGAGAAGAGAGTTTGGATGCTTCTTAACTTCTTCCCTTCTTGCATTGGCAGGATGTTGCTGTGATCTACGGGAGCACCTTTGCAAACCCCACAACCGCGGCCTTAACAACAAATGCTACGATGACTGTATGTGCACAGAAGGTGAGGGCTGACGCTTGCCTGGTGGGAGAGGGTTGAAGCTGTCCCCCTCCCCAGTGACACAGCACTGGGGAGCGCCAGGAAACCGGGAATTATGTTTAAGTGTGGTGGGGGTGTAAATTTTTCTGGCATAGGGTGTTTAAGGAGATAACAGAAATCACTGTGTTCTAGAGCAGGCATAGGCAAACTCGGCCCTCCAGATCTTTTAGGACTACAACTCCCATCATCCCTAGCTAACAGGACCAGTGTTCAGGGATGATGGGAATTGTAGTCCCAAAACATCTAGAGGGCCGAGTTTGCCTTTGCCTGGTCTAGAGGTAGCATTATTATCAATTTACGATGGGATCGAAGGTTCGCATGCTATGAAGGACTTGCTCACAAATTTATTAACAGCTGCATGCATTATGATAGCTAGGAAGCGGAAGGGGCAAGCAGAATATAAAATGGAATGATGGTACAGTCATACCTCATGTTACGGACGCTTCAGGTTATGTGTTTTCGGGTTGCGGACCGCGGGAAACCTGGAAGTACTGGAATGGGTTACTTCTGGGTTTTGCCATTCACGCATGCGCAAAAGCGCCAAATCGCACCGGGGTTGCAGACGTGCGTCCATCACGGATTACGTCCACAACCCGAGGTTCCACTGTATAAAGAGGTGTGGGATATAGCTATGAATGATAAAATAACATGTCCCATTAAGGTAAGACGGGGAATACGCAGGAGAAATTATTTCGAGGAGATGTGGAAGGTGTTTGTCGAATTCATACTGTTAAAATGGAAAGGGATCAAACCATCGCAAGAGGTGTTGAAATTTTGGGAGGTTGGCTAGTTACAATGGAATGGTCTCAGTGGTGGGGCGCACATTTTTATTCTCATTTATTTATGATTAATACTACCTTTCTGCCCGGACACTGAGGTCCAGCTCCAAGGGCCTTCTGGTGGTTCCCTCGCTGCAAGAAGCCAAGTTACAGGGAACCAGGCAGAGGGCCTTCTCGGTGGTGGCACCAGCCCTGTGGAACGCCCTCCCGCCAGATGTCAAAGAGAAAAATAACTACCAAACTTTTAGAAGACATCTGAAGGCAGCCCTGTTTAGGGAAGCTTTTAATGTTTGATGCATTACTGTATTTCAATATTTTGTTGGAAGCCACCCAGAGTGGCTGGGGAGGCCCAGCCAGATGGGTGGGGTATAAATAATAAATATTATTATTATTATTATTAGTCAAAATAAAATAATAACAAGAAGGGGGGAGCACTGGGGAGCAAGCCTCTCCTATGGGGTGCTCAGATGAGTGAGGAGTTGCCATCAGAGACCGAGAACAAGGCAGGGCCAGCGCAGCCACAGAGGCACCTGCTTAGGCGTGTCAGCCTCACTTTCAGACTGGTCTACCTTGCAGGGGGGTTGTGAGGATAAAAAATGTGTGGAGGGGAGGGAATGATGCATTTGATTTATTGACTGGAAATTAGATATCCAGTTAGACCTTTTAAATATTCAATATCAGGGGTAAAAATCTGTTTTTGTTTTCCTCGGGAGAAAGTTGACTTCTCCTTGGGGTGAGGGAACGTTGAATTTTCCTCATCACAAATTTGCCGTTCTCCTCACTCAAGGCCTCCCCCTCTCTCCCAATTTAGGCCTACGCTGCTACGCCAAATTTCACCGCAACCGCAGGGTGACCCGGCGAAAAGGCCGCTGTGTGGAGCCGGAGTCCGCTGATGGAGATCAAGGATCCTTTATTAATGTCTAGAAGGGTACCAGGCTGCTTTCTCTGGGCCTGGAAGCAGGAGGGATTAATTTATAACTAGTGTCACCCGGGAGGGACACGGACCAAATGACTCAGACGCTGTAGGCTAAGCTGGGATTGAGACAAGTGCGTAACAGGGGCAGGTTTTCAAAATTCAGTTGCAGTGGGCTGGGGGCACACAGCCCTTCCAACTCATCGATTCTACGCTGCTATGAAATCCGGAGGCACAATTCTACATCTCCCCAAAGGATTTAGCAGATTTGGTCTGCTAAAATTAAGAATTAAACACTCCCAAGAGGAGCTTGCTGGAGTGTGCCTGTTGCTGCTCTTTCTGAGTCGCTGTTCCTGGCGGAGAGTCCCCTCTTTATTGGAGGCAGACTCCTCTGGGAGTGTCTGTATCGGGAGCGATTGACTACTATAAGCACACACACATACACACTCAGTGAGCCATGGGGCAGAACGATAAACTTTTGTTGGAAGCGAGAGCAAGGAATCAGCAAGGGTTGCACCCCTCTCGTGTCAACTGGGAAGTCTGGAGCGAGGAGTAAATCCTGCAGCCTGAGCTGTCTGCTGCAGGTCTGCTCCTTTGAGACTTTGGCTTGTATACAGTTGGGCGTACTGACTGGGGTGTATGTACCAGAACAAAGAGACACCTCATATACATGTGCAGGGACCCAATCCAAGCCAGGCACTGTTATAACTGCACCAATCTGTGCAAAGGACCCCAAATTCAGAAGGACACAGACATCACTCAAACGAAGTACCACGAGAATCTGAATTTCACACCTCGTGCATTTGATCAAGCCAATTCCTAGTACTTTTGCTTATTATCCATTCGTCTGCACACATCAATTTGCTTCTGCTTCCTGTCAGTTGAGAGAAGGTCTGCAAAGTCCTGCCCCATCTCTTCACCCAGAGGTTCCTGTTCATTGCCAAGCTTACCTCCATCAGGTCTAGAAACTTGAATCCCAGCAGCCATGGCATGGCTTATGAGCACCTGGGTCTTAACTTCCTCCCTCCTTCTCATCCAGGACATTGTCTCTTTTTTAAAATCAATGAATCATTCCCTGCCGGCTTTCAGCGTCTAATTCATTTGGTTAGCACCCTCCAATCTCAGTTATTTATCATTATTTTAGGAGGAGTTGGGGGGGGGGTCCTTTGGTGGGGGAAGGGGGGGATATTTGCCACGTGAAGAGCATAAGAACGTTTCTGGTTGCAGGGAGTGGATCGCCTCCTGTTATCCCTTTAGTCAATGCCGTGGTGTGCTTGCATGTTCCTATTTTGATGAGATGTAAATAAAGAGATAGTTATCCTTCACACAACCGCATCCGGGCTCCTTTTTCTTTGAACAATCAGATGAGCTGGCTGCAAGCAAACTCACCCACCCCCTAAGATCTGGGCTGTTTCACAAGTGCCCTCCTGCCACCCTCTCCCACCCAGCCAAACTGACCTCGCACTTTGCTTTCGGAACCTGCACTGCCCTTCAACATTCTGTGGCCAGTCCTTTCTCCCTCCCTGTGCCAGCAGAGCACCTGAAATATACTCGGAGTCGAGAGTGGATTTCATGCTCTTTATTCAGCTCATAGTGGTGAGGAGGAATGGAAGTTCCTCCACAGTATCTGCTTTGTATACATTATTTACACAATGGGCTGCACGTGATTGGCTAATTCCGGGATTCTCCTGTAGGCCAATCAGGTTGTGGATTCACTTCCATCTGGAGCTGGATTGGGTGGCTCCTGTGGACAAATCATACTGCTGCATTGTTCTAGGACCAATCAGACTGCTGCATTCTGAATCCTATTGTTCTAGGACCAATCAGACTGCTGCATTCTGAATCCTATTGTTCTAGGACCAATCAGAGTGCTGCATTCTGAATCCTATTGTTCTAGGACCAATCAGACTGCTGCCTTTTGGATCCTATTCAACTCAGTCCATAACAGCATCCAAGATCATTGCATGCTGAGCCAACAGATGGCCAGGGTTTTGTTTTTGTGTTAAATCATCAGTCCATCTAGCTCAGTCCTGTCTGCACTGTCTGGCAGTCTCTGGGGTTTCAGAGGGTTTCCCCACCCCAAATGAACTTAGCCCCTTTCCCAATAAATAAAGCAAGATTCTAGTCCTCGTGGCTTTGAAAGCATGGGTTGATTTAAATAGGAACATAAGACGGTGTCTTATGCAGAATCAGGCCATTGCTTTAGCTGGTTTAGTATTGCGTACACAGACTGCTCTAGTTATCTCCCGCTTGGACTACTTCAATGAGCTCTATGTGGGGCTACCTTTGAAGGTGACCCGGAAACTGCAATTAATCCAGAACGCGGCAGTTAGACTGGTGACTGGGAGCGGCCACCAAGACCACATAACACTGGTCCTGAAAGACCTACATTGGCTCCCAGTACGTTTCCGAGCACAATTCAAAGTGTTGGTGCTGACCTTGAAAGCCCTAAATGGCCTCAGCCCAGTATACCTGAAGGAGCGTCTCCACCCCATCGTTCTGCCCGGACTCTGAGGTCCAGCGCCGAGGGCCTTCTGACGGTTCCCTCATTGCAAGAAGCAAAGCTACAGGGAACCAGGCAGAGGGCCTTCTCGGTAGTGGCACCCGCCCTGTGGAACGCCCTCCCAGCAGATGTCAAAGAGAACAACTACCAGACTTTTAGAAGGCATCTGAAGGCAGCCCTGTTTAAGGAAGTTTTTAATGTCTGATGTTTTATTATATTTTTAATATTTTGTTGGAAGTCACCCAGAGTGGTTGGGGAAACCCATCCAGATGGGCAGGGTAAAAATAATAAATTTTTATTATATTATAAACAAACCATCGTTTACAGGCACTAGTTAACTCTTGTCTTCTGTCCATGTGGCTCTGCCAGTTTTAAGGTGCAGTGGCTTTACGAAGCAGAGCAGTGGCTGCAAATATTACTCCCCCTGCACACAATTGGGTTGCAGCAAATCACAGTTAGCATGAACTATGGTTTGCAAAACCAACTTCAGACCACAGGTGGTTGAAGACATCTGAAGGCAGCCCTGTTTAGGGAAGTTTTTAGTGTCTGATGTTTTATTGTATTTTTGATATTCTGTTAGGAGCAGCCCAGAGTGGCTGGGGAAACCCAGCCAGATGGGTGGGGTAGAAGTAATAAATGATGATGATGATGATGACTGACAGGCAGGCAGCAAGGGCACTCTGGGATTTCAGGCAAGAGTCTCTCCCAGCCATTCCTGGAGTCTGAACTCAGGACCATCTTCATGAAAAACAGACACTCCACCTCTCCTAGGAAACTGCTTTGTAACAGGAAAGAGCTTAGTAGAGCCTGCACTGACTGGCAGCAGCTCTCCAGGGTTTCAGGCAGGGGACATGGCCAGTCCTTGCTGGAGAAACTGGGGAATGAAGCTGGGAGCCTGGGCGGGCAGAGGAGATGCTCTGCCACGGACCGGCGACCTCTCCTTTCGCAAAGGACTCCTGGTGCAAACCCCTTTTTGTAACTCTCTGCCCCTTATCTTTCCTGCAAGGATTCTCGCTGTCCTGCTTTATCACTCCTGCAGAAGAAACTGGGTGTGAAAACTCTGCAAGGCCGCAAAGAAATGATACCCAGGGCACAAACAGATTAAAATTGCTACATTGCTTCGGTTAGCATTGGAGGAGGAGCGGGGAATTTTGCTAGCCTAGGAAAGTGGGGTTTTGAGTAGGATGGGCCGCAGCAGAGGTTCTCTGTACACGCTCTATTTCCCCCCATAAACACCTTTGGAGGGACGCGGGTGGTGCCTAGGACTTGCTGATCAGAAGGTTGGTGTTTCGAATCCCCGCAATGGGGTGAGCTCCCGTTGCTCTGTCCCTGCTCCTGCCAACCTAGCAGTTCGAAAGTGCGTCAAAGTGCAAGTAGATAAATAGGTACCGCTCCGGCGGGAAGGTAAACGGCGTTTCCGTGCGCTGCTCTGGTTCGCCAGAAGCGGCTTAGTCATGCTGGCCACAAGCGGAAGCTGTACACCGGCTCCCTCGGCCAATAAAGCGAGATGAGTGCCGCAACCCCAGAGTCGGCCACGACTGGACCTAATGGTCAGGGTTCCCTTTACCTTTACCTTAAACCCCTTTGGGTTTTAGTCCCTGGGGGAGGGGAGTTACTCTGCATGTGCTCAGTGGAACACAGACCTTAAAAGTCTTTTAAAAGGCAAAAAAAGCCTTTTGTTCCAGGCGTGGGTGGGATGGCACTCTGCCCATGGTCAGAGACACCTCACAGCTAGCGGCACCAATAATTGTTGCATTATTTTGGCCGGCAGAAGGCGACAACATCAATTAATTCCGTGAATACAACCCTCCGCCTTCACACAAGGCAGGAAATAATTCAGATTTGAGAGTTTGGTTTTATAAACTGCGGCTTTTGTGTTTGTTTCTCGGGGTGCCAGCACTGAAATCCTAACTTGGAGGAAGTGGGAAACGCTCTCCGTACATGCTCAGAGAGGCCCCTTCGTATCCAGGGCCGGATTTGGGTTTGATGAGGCCCTAAGCTACTGAAGGTAGTAGCAAGTGGGGGTAACAGGGAACTGTACTAGTAAATAATAATATAGGCATGCTACATGTTGCCATGCAGAATGTAGGTACCCTATATATAGAAATGAGGAAAGCAGTGATATTTTAGGGAACAAGCTAGCAGGCGGGCCCATTACTTACATCATAGGAGCCTACACAACACAAAGCAAAACACTGTTGCTGTATGTAGGTTTTATTTTATTTGTTTTTATCTTATATTTTGGAAATGTACATTCAGTTTTCTTTCCCCTGGAGGGGGGGCCGAGAGAGTGGGGGCCTAAGCTATAGCTTGTTTATCTTATGCAGTGATACCTCAGGATGCGAACGGAATCTGTTCTGGAGCCCCGTTCGCATCCCGAACGGAACGCAAGACGCGATGGTGCGTCTGCGCGTGTCACCGCTTCCCAAGCATGCGTATGACATCATTTTGAACGTCTGCGCATGCGTGAGTGGCGAAACCCGGAAGTAACGCGTTCCATTACTTCCGGGTCACCGCGGAGCGCAACTTGAACACACTCAACCTGAAGCACATTCAACTTGAGGTATGACTGTACAGTGGTACCTCGGGTTACATACGCTTCAGGTTGCAGACTCCGCTAAGCCTGAAATACAGTGGTACCTCAGGTTAAGAACTTAATTCGTTCCAGAGGTCCATTCTTTAACCTGAAAACTGTTCTTAACCTGAAGCACCACTTTAGTTATTGGGGCCTCCTGCTGCCGCTGCTGCACGATTTTTGTTCTCATCCTGAAGCAAAGTTCTTAAGCCGAGGTACTATTTCTGGGTTAGCAGAATCTGTAACTTGAAGCGTCTGTAACCCGAGGTACCACTGTAGTACCTCGGGTTAAGAACTTTGCTTCAGGATGAGAACAGAAATCACGCGGTGGCGGCAGCGGAGGCCCCATTAGCTAAAGTGGTGCTTCAGGTTAAGAACAGTTTCAGGTTAAGAACGGACCTCCAGAGCGAATTAAGTTCTTAACCCGAGGTTGTTGTTGTTGTTTAGTCGTTTAGTTGTGTCCGACTCTTCGTGACCCCCTGGACCAGAGTACGCCAGGCACTCCTGCCTTCCACTGCCTCCCGCAGTTTGGTCAAACTCATGCTGGTAGCTTCAAGAACACTGTCCAGCCATCTCGTCCTCTGTCCTCCCCTTCTCCTTGTGCCCTCCATCTTTCCCAACATCAGGGTCTTTTCCAGGGAGTCTTCTCTTCTCATGAGGTGGCCAAAGTATTGGAGCCTCAGCTTCAGGATCTGTCCTTCCAGTGAGCACTCAGGGCTGATTTCCTTCAGAATGGATGTGTTTGATCTTCTTGCAGTCCATGGGACTCTCAAGAGTCTCCTCCAGCACCATAATTCAAAAGCATAAACTCTTCGGCGATCAGCCTTCTTTATGGTCCAGCTCTCACTTCCATACATCACTACTGGGAAAACCAGAGCTTGAACTATACGGACCTTTGTTGGGAAGGTGATGTCTCTGCTTTATTAGATGCTGTCTAGGTTTGTCATTGCTTTTCTCCTAAGAAGCAGGCGTCTTTTAATTTCGTGACTGCTGTCACCATCTGCAGTGATCATGGAGCCCAAGAAAGTGAAATCTCTCACTGCCTCCATTTCTTCCCCTTCTATTTGCCAGGAGGTGATGGGACCAGTGGCCATGATCTTCGGTTTTTTGATGCTGAGCTTCAGATCATATTTTGCGCTCTCCTCTTTCACCCTCATTAAAAGGTTCCTTAATTCCTCCTCACTTTCTGCCATCAAGGTTGTGTCATCTGCATATCTGAGCTTGTTGATATTTCTTCCGGCAATCTTAATTCCGGCTAGGGATTAATCTAGCCCAGCCTTTCGCATGATGAATTCTGCATACTGTATAAGTTAAATAAGCAGGGAGACAATATACAGCCTTGTTGGCAAGGTACCACTGTACTAAATCCGGCACTGTCGCATACCACGAGGTGGCTTTGCTCTGAGCCAGAGAGCGGCGGTGGCCAAAAGGGGCGCCACTCCGGAGCGGCTCCGGTTCCTGGAGCTGGCCGGGCTTTGGCGCTGCCCTCTTGCCGAAGGAGGAGCCTCTCCCTCCCTCCCTCTCCGCCTGGAGGGAGTCACGGGTCCTCGGCAGGGCTGGACGGGGCGGAGCCCGGCCGGGAAGGGAAAAACGGAAGGCGAGGAAGTGATGCCAAGTCGAATTTGGGAGCCAGAAGCGGCGCGGCGCGAACGCTGCGCTGGGGCGGCTGGCGGGGCGTCATGGAAGTGCCGGCGGTGAACCTGAAGGTAGGCGCAGGAGAGGAAAGCGAGCGGGGTAGGAGGAGGCGCGATGGCGCAAGGGGCTTTCCCTTGGCAGAGGGGCTCGTGCGCAAGGGAGGGCGCAAGGCCTGGTACCTGGGTGCAGTTGGCAACTGAGTAGGAGGCAGGTGTGTCCGGGGGCGCAAGAGATAGGACTGGGGGGCTGGGTGGGAGGCAGTGGGTGTGTCAAAGATGGGCTGGTGTCCAGGTACGAGGCTGGGGGATGCACTGCTTGCTTGCATTTATAGCCCACCTTCTGAGCCATGGAGCGCAAGGTGGTTGGCATGGTTTCATCAGTTCATCCCCACAACAAGCCTGCGAGGTTGGCCGAGGTTGAGAGTAAGTGACTGGCCCAACGTCACCCAGTGAACTTCATGGCCAACTTGTCATTCGAACCCTGGGCCGAGACTGACATTCTAACTCCTGCACCACGCTGCCCTGCAGACCGGGCGTGTGAGCCCGAGAACACGGTTTTAGTAAGTTGGCAACGCTAGTAAGGAGAAGCACCCGGGGCAACTTGTATATTTGGCAGCCTGGGAAATTTCCAAGAGGAGTTGATGCTTAGGACGCATATTCTTTGTTACGGGCAATGGTTTGTAAAATACGCATTGAACCTCTTCTTCTACAGTGGTATCTCGGGTTACATACGCTTCAGGTTACAGGCTCTGCTAACCCAGAAATAGTGCTTCAGGTTAAGAACTTTGCTTCAGGATGAGAACAGAAATTGTGCTCCGGAGGCGCGGCGGCAGCAGGAGGCTCCATTAACTAAAGTGGTGCTTCAGGTTAAGAACAGTTTCAGGTGAAGAACGGAGCTCCGGAACGAATTAAGTACTTAACCCGAGGTACCACTGTATTCTATTCCTTTTGAAAGATAAGTAAGCGAGGAATGGCTGGTGCGTTTCTGAGAGGGGGAGGGTGTGCCTGGGATCGAGAGGATCGTTCCCTGCTTTTCCATTGCATCTGGGTTCGGGGTCCTGAATGTCCATCCATGTGCAATGTTTGTGCACTGGCTCTCTAAACATGCACTCCATAATCATCATCATCATCATCTATTTGTACCCCGCCCATCTGACTGGGTTGCCTCAGCTGCTCTGGGCAGCTCCATGACTCTTGTTCCCCTTTGAATTTTTCTCTGCCCCTTCGCCCGGGCTGATGTACTCGGACAGCTTTATAGCATCAAAGAGGGGTAGAGTGTGAAGGGAACCCCAAGGGCCATCTAGTCCAACCCCCTGCAATGCAGGAATCTTAGCTGAAGAATCCCTGAGAGATGGCCATCCAACCTCTGCTTAAAAACCTCCGAGGAAGGAGAGTCTACTACCACCTTCTGAGGGAGTCCCTTCCACTTTCAAACAGCTCTCACCCCCAGAAAGTTCTTCCAGATATTTAGTTGGGATTGCCTTGCTTGCCATTTGAATCCATCGGTTCACGTCCTAGCCTCTGGAGCAGCAGAAAATGAGCTTCCTCCACCATCCATGTGACAACCGTTCAGATATTTCAGCCTCCCCCAAGGAACTCCTCCCCACCCCGACACCCCATGTGATGCAAAACACTGTCCTCCAATATGTCGAAATCCACACTCGGCCATGACCCACAAAATTCCTGTTAGTGGCAGTTTTTATTGCTGTCTCTGGCCTAGATTGTCATCTCTAGGGGAAACCCAAACCTGCGATGCTTGTGGTTAAGTTTGGAGGTCATCACATGACGATCTGATCACGTTTAAGGTTCTGTTCTTAGTTTGGGCTAACATACATACATACATACATACATACATCATTTTATTTGTATGTCGCCTTTCCATAGTTCAAACCATGCTCAAGGCGGCTTACAGCATGAAAAAATACATCATTACAGACGTAACAGAAGTAAAGGTAAAGGTAAACGGACCCCTGACCATTAAGTCCAGTTGTGGCTGACCCTGGGGTTGCGGCGCTCATCTCACTTTATTGGCCAAGGGAGCCGGCGTACAGCTTCCGGGTCATGTGGCCAGCATGACTAAGCTGCTTCTGGCGAACCAGAGCAGCGCACGGAAACGCCGTTTACCTTCCTGCCGGAGCGGTACCTATTTATCTACTTGCACTTTGATGTGCTTTCGAACTGCTAGGTGGGCAGGAGCAGGGACCGAGCAACGGGAGCTCACCCCATTGTGGGGATTCGAACCGCCGACCTTCCGATCGGCAAGTCCTAGGCTCTGTGGTTTAACCCACAGCTCCATCCGTGTCCCATAACAGAAGTAGTCATAAACAATAAACGTAAAAAATACACAACAAAATTGAACAATTTCCACATAAATCATAATAAGATCTAAAACAAAGAGACAAAAAATTAATACAAATAACAGCAACAAACTGCCCCCAAGTAATACCCCAGCCCAAGAGTCTGTTCAGCAGCCTCAGTTTTTGTAGCTGGAGTCAGTCAGGGGCCCGGTCTCGCAGGGCAGTTGGGAAAAGGCCTGCAAGGTTCTAACGCTGCCTTGTTTTTGCTTTATGTCCCTGGGTTTTTGTAGATACTGAGTACATCCTCGAAATAACGAGGTAGAAATCTTTCTAGTAAAAGCAGCACATCCTCCAATTCCATTCGCATTCATATTTTCATTCACATTCAAATACGTTTTTGCCACAATATCAAAAATTATCCTCCTTCTGTCCTTTTGCCTGGTATCTCAAATGATATCTGGTATCTAAAATGGTATCTATCTAACGGTAGACTGGAACTATACCCCCCCCCCCAAATCATGGTTTGCACTTCCAGAGATACAAACAAGAGTGTCTCGCCCGAGTGGTGCATGCTCTGTTTATCTCCCACTTGGAATACTGCAGTGCACTCTACATGGGGGCTACCTTTGAAGGTGACCCCGGAAACTGCAATTAATCCAGAATGCAACAGCTAGACTGGTGAACTGGGAGTGGCCGCCGAGACCACATAACACCGGTCTGGAAAAAACTCCCAGTACGTTTCCGAGCACAATTCAAAAGTGTTGGTGCTGACCTTGAAAAGCCCTAAACGGGCCTCGGGTCCAGTATATCTGAAGGAGCGTCTCCCATCCTCCATGTTCAGCCCAGGACACTGAGGTCCAGCTCTGAGGGCCTTCTGGTGGTTCCCTCGCTGTGAGAGGCCAAGTTAAAGGGAACCAGGCAGAGGGGCCTTCTTGGTGGTGGTGCCCGCCCTGTGGAACGCCCCCCATCAGATGTCAAGGAAATAAACAACTATCTGACTTTTAGAAGACATCTGAAGGCAGCTCTGTTTAAGGGAAGTTTTTAATGTCTGATGTTTTATTGTATTTTTAGTATTTTGTTGGAAGCCACCCAGAGTGGTTGGGGAAACCCAGCCGGATGGCAGGGTATAAATAATAAATTATTATTATTATTATATTATAAACAAACAAACCATTGTTTACAGGCACCAGTTAGCTCTCCTCTCTGTCTGCTTGGCTCTGCCACTTCTAAGTGCAGTGGCCTTACGAGGCAGAGCAGCCGCTGCAAAAACTACCCCCTGCACACAATTGGGTTGCAGCAAACCACAGTTAGCATGAACTATGGTTTGCAAAACCAACTTCAGACCACAGGTGGTTGTTCTGGTGTAACAGTTAATTGTAGGCTTGGGTTGAGCAGTTTGTACATTATGCTATATTGGGGGCGGGCAACCTCCCTCGAGGGCCACTTGGCAATGATGGATGGGCAGTTGAGGGCCGCATGCCAGGGGTAGAGGCTGTGGCTGGTGATTGTAGCGCGCTCTCATATGCAAGGGCACACAGAAAGTACCACTTGGGCCCCAGGGGGCTGCTCTGAAACCCCCCCCCCCCGAGGGCCACATGCCAGGTCTGTGTTGCTGACATGTGTGCTGTACCATCATTTAAATTTCCAAACCGTAGTTTGGTGTGATATAAGAAGCTGAAGTTGTCAGGCATGAGTTTGAATGCTGTCTTAATTTGCTGCAGACTTGATATTTGGCTTTGAGTAGCTTCTGAGCTTCTGAGCCTGGTTTTTCTTTCTGTCAAATGGAGGTGACGGTGGCCTACCTTGCAGGGTCATGCTGAAGGTGATTTCTATTACACAGCACCAATATCAGATGCGTCCCTAGGCCTCTCAGCGTGCCTGCCTGCTGAGCTGATTTAATCTGGTTAGCAAAATGCACATCAATGGGAGATGTCCTTTATTAATGCCCCCCCCTTCCGTAGAAACCTAGCTCATCAGGGATGATTTTCTGAGCACGGGTCCTCTTCCTTGATGTGTTAACTTCCTAGCTGCAGGGAGAGTGGGCTTTGTTTCTCCGTGTCTACTCACAAATGTGCAGATAAAGTTTCTAAGTGGATAGTGCCTGTTGAAATTTAGAGAGCGACAGCATGGCTCTTAACTTGGGGAGGGCATTGTGAGACGGAATTTTAAAACTGCTTTGTTTTTAGCAGCCTTGCAAATCAAAGGTTCTGTGCTATGATCGGGTTGGTTAATTATTAAAACGTAAGTGCTACTAAAAAACAGGTTTTCTTTCCCTCTCTCCCAACCCCCCCCCACATGTCTAAGCAGAGTTTGCTTATATATCTTCTCCTTTTATGGGGAGACCCCCAAGAGAGTGGGGTTGATGTGATTTTCTTACATGGCGAATCCTAAAATCCCCGCAGCATTCTTTTTAGGAGATTTTGAGAGAAGCAAGAAAGCTGTGCCAGAAGCTTCCCGAGATCCAAAGTCTGCTCCCGAAGAGGCAACCCTTTTTGCATGAATGAAACTTGGATGTTGAGCTATGCCAGAGGATGGAGCTCGTGCACCCTTAATAGTAGTTTCCTGCTTCCATTAAAGGTGCAGTAGCCCTGTAATATGTACTCAGAAGTAAATTCGGCGGGGCTTGCTCCCATATAAGTGAGTTCTGTGTACAACTGCAGCTTTAAACTGCAGATTAAAGACCCTGATGAGTCGTTGGGACTGACAATGAGCAAAGTGGACATGCGTTTGCAGAGATGCTTGCTAGCGTTGTGCCTCTGTCTCCAGGAAACAAAG